TTACCTGTCTTAATTATTACTATTATTATTATTAGTAGTAGTCGTAGTAGTAGTTGCAATAGTAGTAGTAGTAGAAGCATCATTATTTTATTCATTGCAGTATTTTCAATATCATCATCACTAATATCAACAAACAAACACTTATCAAAAATCAAAACAAAAAGAAAATTCACAACAAAAACAACAACAAAAACCACAAAACACAACAAAAACAACAAAAACAAAACAAAAAACAACAAAAACACAAAAACAGCAAAACAAAAAGTAAAAATAATTAACCAATCTGAGTAAGGTAACTAGGACACTCTCATCTGGACCACTTCTCAGACCCCAGAAATAGACCACAAGAAGGTCCCAGGCGGCTATAATAGGGACCTAACCTTTGGTCTGGTTGTGGTCTGAGGTCTGCGTCCCTCGTCCCTCTCTCTCCTAAAACTGACCGAGGGAAAATTCTGACGGAAAATGTTGGTCGAAAATAATTGGAATCACTTTTTGCTCTCTCTCTCTCTCTCTCTCTCTCTCTCTCTCTCTCTCTCTCTCTCTCTCTCTCTCTCTCTCTCTCTCTCTCTCATGCAGTGTTGACAAACGAGAAGATAGGAAAAGATATCAAATAAGAATAGAGATAATTGTGATACAGAATTTATATTGACATTGAAACAGTTTATCGAGAATAAGATGTCAACACAGGTATCCGTTCATATTTATCATCTAAACTTTAGACATTGAATACAAAATAAACCAACCGACACATCGCCTTCTCTGGTCGTTCTACTACAGACTTTGCTTTCCTAGTCTAACCTAACTCTCCTGAATCTCCGTCTTTCTCTCCAGTCGCCTCATCCTCGCCCTTATGGCTGGACCTCTTCTTTCCCAACACTACTGGAGTCCCCCGGGGCCCATTTCTTGCTCCTACACCACTCTTCTTAGTCCATATTTATGACCGTCTCTTCATTCCTTCCAGCGACTCACATTCTTGTACTGAGGCCGCTAACAAAACTCTTCTGTGTTCTAATACCCACAACACTCAATCATGTCTCCTGGTACAGTCAATAATAAAAGTCTGTTCGTCTCTCCCCCTGAACCACGAACCCCCAGAGAGATTCAGACTCGTGAACCCGAAGCAGTAGGATACATTATACTGTCCACAAATACTTCGGATCCATGAGTCTGAATCTCTCGAGGGTTCGTGGTTCAGTAGGAGTGACGAACGAACTGTAGTAGTTGACTGTACATCATAATATAAACATCAAAGCTGTATTCAACACAGCTCTTGAGTCCGTACATTAATGGGATTCAGATAATCTATATACATGTAATACCTCCACGATACAGACTCTCATTCTTTCTTTCAAACAAGGTCATACTCAACCTCTATCGATGTCCAGTAACATATCCGCTGTACCTGTCACTAATGTCTGTAAACTTGGTCTTACTAACAAACTCTCGCACGGACACCACAAGTCTAACGCTGTACAGAACTCTTCAACAACAATAATAATAATAATAATAACAATAACAACCATAACAGTGGTAAATATACTAGTAAAGTATTAATTCATTATTTATTAAACACAGCGACCGGAGCAATTTTTTTTTCTGAATGTAGCTTAATTATAAATCGTGTTATAGAAAATGCAATTAGTGTACGTGAACCAATTTGCAGAGACACTTGTTCAATTTACAAATAAAGAATTGTTCGAAAATTAAAAGCAAATGTATTTTCGAGTTTTAAAAGAAGAAGGAAACTTTTAATTTTAGTTTGAACGTAAAATGAAACGGTTTCGAAATTTAAAAACATATTGTTTGTTTATAATGAAAGTAATCATAATATTTCCCAGGCGTTCGATTCAACAACATTTTTCACGCGTTCGGATCCTTACAAATAAAATGATGAGATGGTAATGTTTTTTGTTTTGTTTTAATTTTGCAGTTGTATTTTTAATATTCGCATAATCTTTACGCACGTGGTAAGTGATTGAGTATGGTATTTAACGCAATCACCTCTAACGTGATTGACTGGGGTATTCAACGCAACAATCACCACACGACGCCAACGCAAATAATGAAGATGATATCGCTCGATCTCTTACAGGTAGCAGGATGGACGCCACAAATAATTATCGACCTTAAAACACTTTGAGAATGTGTGGAATCTAGTTCAGTTTATTTGCCAGTCCCCGTGAGGGTGTGTTGGCGGTTGTGGCGGCTGTGTGGCGGCTTTGGCGGCTCCCTGACATCTGTCCTCTTGATTTCAATTCTGACTGCTCCCTGGCGGCTACAATTTATATCACTATTTTTATTACTATTACAATAAATATTTATACTGTTTATGTTTTCCCTACTACAGTAGAAGTAGTAGTAGTACATAAGAACATAAGAAAATAAGGAGTCTGCAATAGGCCGGTTGGCCTGTGCATGGCAGCTCCTGTCGAGAGTTACTACCACTCTCTATCATCCATGAATCTATCAAGCCTCCTTTTGAAACTTTCCAGAGTTCCAGCACTTACTACAAAGTTGCTAAGTTTGTTCCACTCGTCCACCACCCTATTTGTGAACCAGTTTCTTCCTATCTCCCTCCTAAACCCAAACTTATCCAACTTAAATCCGTTGCTCCGAGTCCTATCCTGCTCGGATATTATAAGAACTTTATCTATATCCCCTTTATTGATTCCTTTCACCCACTTAAATACTTCTATCATACCTCCCCGCACTCTTCGTCTTTCTAGGGAATGCAAGTTAAGTTTCTTTAACCTATCCTGATATGGAAGGTTTCTAAGTCCCGGAATCATTTTCGTCATTCTTCGCTGCACCGACTCTTGTGAATTGATATCCATTCTATGATAAGGGCACCAGAACTGAACCACATAATCGAGGTGCGGCCTGACTAGCGCAAGATATAGTTGCAATAAGACCTCTGCACTCTTATTACTTACACTTCTAGATATAAAACCCAATATTCTGTTTGCCATATTTCGAACATTAACGTACTGTTTTCTAGGCCGTAGGTCAGGGCTTACAAGTACCCCTAGGTCTCTTTCACAAGTCGACTTCTCTAGGTTGTTGTTGTTAAGGCTGTATACATTGTCAGTATTTGTTCTTCCAATATTAAGTACGCTGCACTTGCTGGTGTTGAATTTCATTTGCCATTTTTCAGACCACCCCTGCAGTTTATTTAGATCCTCCTGTAATGCATTTGCATCCTGCCCTGAATTAATCTGCCGCCCTATTTTGGTGTCATCCGCAAACTTGCTTATGTCACTGCTGATCCAGTATCTAGATCGTTTATGTAGATTATGAACAAGAGTGGGCCTAGTACTGACCCCTGGGGAACCCCACTGGTTACACGGCCCCGCTCAGATTTAACACCATCTACGCTGACCCTCTGCGTTCTATAGGTGAGCCATGATTTTATCCAATTTAAAACTTTCCCCTCGATACCATGAGCCTTAATAGTAGTGGTAGTGGTAGTAGTAGTAGTTGCAGTAGTACCAGGAGAAGTAGCAGCAGTAGAAATAGTAATAGTTACGGAGATTTCAACGATCTAATAAGTAGCTATCCTGCAACACGGAAAAAGGAAGTGTGGAGGGGAGAGTAAAGCGGGAGAGGAGGCAGGAGAAAGAGAGGAGGGGGAGAGGAGAGGCAAGAGAGAAGAGGAGGGCGAGACACGAGAAGTGACAGCAGAAAGTGGAGGTAAAGAGGAGAGGGAGGAGAAGAGGCACATAGAAGGGAGTTGACAGGAAGAGGGAAAAGGAGGAGATGAAAGGGAGAGGGTTGGGAGGGAGAGGGACTATGAGAGGGAGAGGTGTTGAGAGTGAAAGATTCTACTAACCTGACTTACTCGTCTGTCCACAGCACGTCAATTGAGGTCTCCAATTTTTACTGTATTATCATGGAATTTGTATACAATATTATTTACTGATCTACATTATTAATTTTTTTTTGTGGTTTTAATTAATCTAATATCTTTAACTATGTATGAGTTACTGTGGAAGGTTTTTCAGACAGGATAATTTTTTACTAAAATTATCCTTTAAACCAGTTATCATGTGATTAGTCTAGAACCTTGTCAGTGATCCCCATGTAAATAACTGTTTAAATAAAAAATAGTCTGTCTTCCCTCAACTGCCTCACCAATGAAGAAAATAAGATGAACCTCACTCTTGTCTTCTGCCTATGTTTCTCCCAGGGCTATCGTGAGAACGTTACGATAGAAGGGGCTATACGAGAGGTATTGTAGTTATCGTCAACACATTCACCACGCACTCACCCTCGTCGATAACCTATCACAGTTTGTTTTCCGAGTCACCAGTGAGAGTTGACCGACCCCCATTTATCGGAGGCAGTTCGGTATATGCGAGACGATGGTGTTTCACATAGTAAGAGTATAGTTGTAAAAAGGAGGTATCCATCTATCTCTCTAAGGTAGTACATAATGTCGATAGCTAAACTTCACCAAACACTACTAAGGAACATCAAGCACCACCAAGGAACACTAAGTAATGCCAAGGAACATCAAATACTAATATGGAACATGAGGTGACGGAGCAGTGGGTGACGGTGACGTGATAATGCTTTCAGACAGTGTGTGGGCGTACAGACAGGTGGATCAACAGACATAAAACGGGCGAGTACAAGGCGGTTGAGCAGGCAGACGGCACAGAGTGGACGGGCAGGTGGACGGTTGGTGAAGGTGGGCGGACGAACAAGAGGGCGGGTGGATGCGAGGAGGGTGGGCTGAAGGGCGGTGCGGGGTGGACGGACAGGCGGGTTGGGTGGAGAGCGACGCAGAGTGGGTGGACGTGCAAGGCGGGTGGGCAGGCAAGCGGGCGGCGTGGGGTGGACGAGCAGGCGGGCGGGCGGCGTGCAGCGGGCGGACGGGCGGTTGGGTGGGTGAGGGTGACCACGTAACGGTGTAGTGCGGGGTCGGCGGGCAGATGGCGGTGGTGAGGCGGGGCGGGCGAGGCTCGCACCTCCGCTTGCCACCTCAGTCGTGCCCGAGACACCGAGCTGGGCGGACCTCTCCCGCCCCCCCAGACACGCCCACACCGCCCGCCTCCCTCCCGCATCCTCGCGATTCCCTTCACTAGTTCCCGTGGTGCCTGACGATGCCGCGTCACCCGGTAAACACGCCCTATGTAGGAGCTGTCGCCACACGCATGACTCGTGGTTCCCAACTGACCCAAGACCTGCTTGGTGGATAAGTGGGTGTCCGGTGGAGTGGTGGACGCGCGTCGCCCGGTGTGGTGTGTGGCAGTGTAGCGTGTGGCTGGGCCCCGTGGCCAGGGTGGGCAGTTTATGTGTGAGTGTTGGTAAGAGCGCTGTGGCGACTCACTCTACACCCAGGAATACCTCTTCCTTCTACAATCACCGCCCACACCACCACCCGCCGCCCACACCGTCCCACCCATCAGCTGTACTCGTCACCTGGGTGGTAAGTATAACACCTGCACGTCAGTACCTCCCTCACTGTGTTCCCTGGTGTAAGTTCCTGGTATAAGTAGCAGGAGCAACGGGAGCGGGGTGGGGGACCTGGGTGACTTCAACGTGATGTAGAGAGGAAGCTCCGCGGCCTTTGAGGTCGGCGGTGGCGGCCCTCGTGGGAACCTGCCCGCCGCCGGAGTCATTACGATACTCTACAGCCACACACTGCCAGGTCACCGCTGGTTTAATTTCGTATGTAAGAAAGTCATCATACCTGGCGTGAGTCTGTGTCCCTGTGTGGCAGTCATGTTCCTACACCTCACCTGTACTGGCGCCAACGCACTCACCACACCTGTACTGGCGCCAACACACTCACCTAACCTGTACTGACGCCAGCACACTCACCTCACCTGTACTGACGCCAACACACTCACCTCACCTGTACTGACGCCAACACACTCACCACACCTGTACTGACGCCAACACACTCACCGACAACGGACTCTATAGTAGTTCCCACACCACACCTACAACAATACCTCCAGCAATATAATCTACTTCCCACACCACACCTGCGGCAACACACTCTAGTTCCCACACCACACCTACAATACCTGCGGCAATGCACAAATTACCACACCTCAGTTACTACCACATTGCAATTTTACTTTGTCATCTCCACATAGTAACATAATGTATGCAATTGCAATGATGAAAGTGAAAAAAATTAACCCACATTAACGAACAGTTTCGCTCATAAACCTCACTCTTTAGGTATTAGCTACACGCATACTTTCGTTACTTATGTATACGTATCCATCTATTGTATGCCTACATGTAAAAATCTCACACACTCACACACACACACACACACACACACACACACACACACACACACACACACACACACACACACACGCGCGCGCGCACGCACACACACACACACACACAATTATGTAACTGTATATTTTCAGCCTTCTGGCTGCCAAGCTCTTTCAATAAACCGTTAATTATTATTATTATTATTATTATTATTATTATTATTATTACACACACACACCACATATAAAGACACACATGACAGTGCAGTGGTATTGTGGTTGCCTCATCGTTGTGGTCGTATTCGATACCCGTTTGGTGCGATGTGTTGTGTCGTGTAGCCCAAGTAAACACAGGTTATATCCAGTTTATACCCACGTACTACTACACTCGGTTCCCATACTCGTGGTGAAGGGTTTTTAGTGGAATACCATGAGTCACCACACTCTACCCATACGGAATAGAAATGTTGTGTATGAATTGAAAAAAAAAATGATCGATGCAATTTAATGTGGAAAATGTAAAGTTCTAATTGGGAATGGGAACAGGGGCTCAAATTATCAGCTGAAAAACGTAGATATAGACAGATTGAGATAAAGATTTGGGGGGTAATGATAAACAAGAGCTTTAAACCTAGACAGTAATGCGTTTATGTACGTAACGAGTCTAACAAAATACAAGGGTTCATATCAAGGAGCGTTGGAGTGTTAGTGACAGGGAAGTGAAGTTACCTTACAACTATATCAACAGTGTGTCAGACCCCACCTGGAATACGCGGTTCAGTTTTGGTCACTGAACTGCAGAATGGATATTGATTCCCTAGAAGGAATCCAGAAGCGGATGGCGATGTTAATCCCGGGCATTGGGAGCTTGAGTATATACATTTAAAAAAGTAATTTGCAGTTCTTCGAGAGACGTAGAGTGATGGGCGATATGATAGAGGTGTATAAATGGGAGTCAGGGTTAAGCAAAGGTGATATAACAAAGGTAATTAAATTATCCAACCAGGAGCGAACTCTTAACAATGGGTTTAAATTAGACAAATTTAGATTTAGGCGCTAAATAGGTAAATTTGGAAATAGAGTAGTGGACGAGTGGAACAAGTTACCAAACATCATCATTAACTAGAATACGCTGGATAGCTTCAAACATAGGTTGGATGGATATATGAGCGATAGGGGTTGGGTGTAAACAGGACTGCCCAGTATAAGAATATAAGAAAATAAGGAGTCTGCAATAGGCCGGTTGGCCTGTGCATGGCAGCTCCTGTCGAGAGTTACTACCGCTCTCTATCATCCATGAATCTATCTAGCCTCCTTTTGAAACTTTCCAGAGTTCCCGCACTTACTACAAAGTTGCTAAGCTTGTTCCACTCGTCCACCACCCTATTTGTGAACCAGTTTCTTCCTCTCTTCCTCCTAAACCTAAACTTATCCAACTTGAATCCGTTGCTCCTAGTCCTATCCTGCTCGGATATTATAAGAACTTTATCTATATCCCCTTTATTGATTCCTTTCACCCACTTAAATACTTCTATCATATCTCCCCGCACTCTTCGTCTTTCTAGGGAATGCAAGTTAAGTTTCTTTAACCTATCCTGATATGGAAGGTTTCTAAGTCCCGGAATCATTTTGTCATTCTTCGCTGCACCGACTCTAGTGAATTTATATCCATTCTATAATAGGGGCACCAAAACTGAACCGTATAATCGAGGTGCGGCCTGACTAGCGCAAGATATACAGTAGTTGCAATAAGACCTCTGCACTCTTGTTACTTACACTTCTAGATATAAAACCCAATACTCTGTTTGCCTTATTTCGAACATTAACGCACTGTTTTCTAGGCCGTAGGTCCGGGGTACCCTAGGTCTCTTTTCGACTTCTCTAGGTTGATGTTGTTTGTATGTATTTGATTAAGTACGCTGCACTTGCTGGTGTTGAATTTCATTTGCCATTTTCAGACCACCCCTGTAGTTTATTTAGACTGCAGGGGTGGTCTGAAAAATGGCAAATGAAATTCAACACCAGCAAGTGCAGCGTACTTAATATTGGAAGAACAAATACTGATAATGTATACAGCCTTAACAACATCAACCTAGAGAAGTCGACTTGTGAAAGAGACCTAGGGGTACTTGTAAGCCCGGACCTACGGCCAATTGGCCCCGCTGCAGTTTCCTCCACACAGACAGAGATACGTACACATTTCGCAGCCTATGTACGTGTGCATTTCCAACCAGTTATATTTGAAACCTTCAATTATATTCATGTGCATATCTTTCCATCAACATGTACGTGTTCGCCGATTACGTGTACCAATCCGACACCCAAGTACACACGACTATCTTCACAGTCTGCTTACATGTACACCAACACACCTAAAATCACTTGTACTCCAGTGGCTCAACCTTACATACACACGTAACATATTCAAACATGCACATAACTTCCATATATATGTGTAAATCCTCTTTGTTTACTCATGTGAACATCTCAACATACACCGTTTTTTTAATTACACGTACATCAACGCTACACTCAAGGCATCAATGTACGTGTGTGTGTGTGTGTGTGTGTGTGTACTCATGGGTAGTAGTACACACGCTCACCAAACACTACTACATGGGTCATCACCTTAACTTTCACTTGGTTGGCGATAGTAAGCTGGTGAAGCGTGACTCTCTCTCTCTCTCTCTCTCTCTCATTTCTTTCACCACCTTCACTGAGAAACAATCGGGAAGTCTTCAGTGCCTAACGCCAGCGGCCAACGTGTTTCTTAAGTAGTAATTGACTGGCACTTGTGACTGTAATTGTTCCAGTTTCCTCATCAGTGGGCGTGAAGACTGGTGAAAGTGGCGGTGACTGGCTGTGTCTGTTGTTTGAGCCACAGACAGACAGACATACACGCTATACAGACATAAGAACATAAGAATGGAAGAAATAGTAGCGGGCATATTGGCCCATACTGAGTAGTCCCATTTACACCCAACCCCTATCTCTCATATATCCGTCCAACCTATATTTGAAGCTATCCAGTTAATGATGGTGTTTGGTAACTTGTTCCACTCGTCCACTACTTTATTTTCAAACTAGTATGTATTTATCTTGCGTGTAAATCTAAACTAAATTTGTCTAATTTAAAACCATTGCTTCATGTTCGCTCCTGGTTGGATAGTTTGTTTAGCCCTGACTTCCATTTATACACCTCGATCATATCGCCCCTCACTCTACGTCTCTCGAGGGAGTGGAAATTAAGATGCTTTAACCCGTCTCTGTACTCAAGGTTCCTAATGCCCGGGATTAGTCTTGTCATCCTCCTCTGAATTCCTTCTAGGGATTCGATATCCGTTCTGTAGTACGGTGACCAAAACTGAACTGTATAATCCAAGTGAGGTCTCACAGGCACAAGATATAGTTTTAGGATGACCTCGCTAGTCTTGTAACTAACACTCCTTTGTATGAACCCAAGTACTTTGCTAGTCTTGTTTCAAGCAAATGCGCATTGCTGTCTTGGTTAAAATTCCTACTTATCATTACTCCTAAATCTTTCTCACAGTCGGATTTCTCTATAACATCGTTATTCATCTGATATCTGGTTTCTCTGTTTACATCTTCTAGACTAAGTACTTAACATTTGACCACATTAAATATCATCTGCCATTTTTCAGACCATTCGAAATTTTTTTATATCTTCCTGCAGTTTTGCGGAGTCCTCGTCAGATTTAATTGCACGCCCTATTTTTGTGTCATCAAATTTACTGCTGTTGCTGCCTACGCTTATATATATATACATATATATATATATATATATATATATATATATATATATATATATATATATATATATATATATATATATATATATATATATATATATATATATATATATATATATATATATATGCTGATAACTCACCCTGAAGATGTGAATTACACGAAAGCTTGGGAACTTCGTGTTTCTTCTTTCCGTGGTTATCAGCATACCTAGATCACACGTACAGTGATTTACTTGCATATATATATATATATATATATATATATATATATATATATATATATATATATATATATATATATATATATAATCAATGGTAATGGTCCAAGTACTGAGCTTTAGGGTACAGACACATATACAGGAATACACACATAGACATATACACATACCAATAGGAACACACAGACAAATACGCATACA